TTTTTTTTTTTTTTTTTCTTTTCTTTTTTGACAGAGAAAAGGTCTGCATTGTCTTTCTAAAAAGTGACTTGCACTTATTGCACTGATAATCTGTGTCAGCAAATGGACGTTTGCAACAAGATCTCTGCAAAACATTGTTGGAAGTGCAATGCTTTGCACTAACCGAGCCAAGATTGTCAGTAGTCATTAAACTAAAACCTGGTATGCGATGCATTCAAATACATTGTACAGATGACATAATATAAAATTTAAATATGATTTAGCAATAAGTCCCTAAAGCCTTTTTGCAGGTAAACACACATTTATTTTCACTGCTTTTCAATGATATGCACGTAATATTATATTTTGCTGTTCAAATGACGCCTCAGCACCAGCTGCCAGTTGTCCGTTTCGCAGACTTTGACTTTAAATGCAACCCCATAAGTGTTGAAGTAGGTGCCATGCAGACGTTGGACTGGAAACAAGCCCAGGTTCCAGCGGTGTGGAATGCTAAAGAGTCCCAGCTTACCCTGATGCCTCATCGCAGACATCCCCGGTCCAGTTAGTGGGAAGTGGTCGACAAGGACCACGCGCCCCCCATCCTCCAAACCGAGAACGCGTAGCTCAAGCGCTCGTGCGCCACGTAGCTGCAATTGTTCCCTCTCGCGTCCAGCTCGTCGCTCTGGAGAACCTGGCACAGAAAGTCAATGTAGCGGGCCGCCAGCTTCAGCGTCTGGATCTTGCTGAGCTTGTCGGAGGGCAGGGTGGGGATGATTTTGCGCAGCGACGTGAACGCTTCGTTCAGCGACTGCGTCCGCTGTCGCTCGCGGATGTTGGCCATCACGCGCTGCGTCTGCAGGTCGTCGAAGGAGCGCGCGGGGCTGCTGCCGCTGCTGGCCTCGCTGCCGCCGCTTCCTCCGTCGTCGCAGATCTTCCTGCACTTCTTCTTGCCGCGGACGGAGCTCTCCGCGCCTCCCTCCTCGTCCTCCTCCTCGTCCGTGCTCCGGCGCGCCGCCCGCCGCTTCCTCGCCCCTCTCCGTGGCAACTGACGGTCACTCTCCTCCTCGCTGTTCCCAGCGCTGTCCATCGGGGAGGAGTCGTCTTCCCGCATCGTCTTCTCAGACTGACTTTTTCTGACTTTTTCTTTTTTCTTTTTTTTTTTTTTGTCTTCCTTTTTGAGGATATGGTACGGTTTTTGACCCCTGACCCAGGTAACTGTCACAAATACGTCAACAAACAGGAGAGCTGTATTTAGGCGTTTGGCTCTCAGTGGTTTCAGGTCTGAATTGTGAAATGTGGTGCGCCACAAAGAGGGAGAGGTATCTGCCAGGCTGGGACGACCCCAGGCTCTTATAGCGAGGAGAGAGCTGGAGGATTTTTGGGGAGGACTCTCCGATTGGGAGAGGAGGGGTGTAATATAACACTGCGGGAGAAGGAGGCTTAGGGAAAACTCCTCAAAACACGAAAGCTTCTCCACACAGAAGTGGGAGGAAGTGGTGGGGGCGACGTTATTAAATCATGCATCTTGTGCAAACACGAGCTGTGTGGAGATAATTTCTTCTTCTTCTTTTCTTTCAGTCTTGCACAAAGTTAGCAAAAATAAGTGGAATTCCTTTGAGTTGGAAGGCCCCCACCCATCCATATTGCTCAGTTTTCATCCACAGGTTGCTTTAGTGGCGGCCTTCAGCAGGTCTGCATTGTTGGGTCTGGCTAATCTCATCTTCCTCTTGGCGATATCCCACAGATTCTCTACGGGGTTTCGGAGAGGCAATTTTGCTGTCATGAAGCACACTGGCTCCATGGTGGTTACCTGTGTGAGGACAATTGCTGGCCATTTGCTGCCGGAAAAGGGAATCTGTATCTCCACACTGCAGCTCCACTGACTTGTAAGATGCTTTTAAAATCTCCTTTTGATTGGACATGTGGCACAACGCAAAGAAGGTGACCAGCGAAGCGTCTGGCCACTGTTAAAGCTCCGACTCCCATTGCAGCACACACCTTATGAATGTTCCCCAATCTTTTAAATGAGCTTGGATTCACATTAGTTTCAAGGCTGCAGTTGTCCCTATCGCCTTTGGACACATTTTCCTTCCACTAAGCTTTCCAGTAATTTACTTGAAAACAGACCCTTTACCTTGCAACAAAATCTGTTTGCTTTCTTGGCCTTATGTGGTATTCTGGGTTTGTTATAAACTTAATTGTGTTTTAATAAGCTGGTGAAAGTCTTTCACTTTTTAAATTCCTATAACTGAAGTTGTTGATCATATCAAAATGTTTTGAAATGACATTTTTGGAGCAAAGGTGGCCCAGCTCAAAAACAATTCATTTGCTAAATGAGTTCTACATCACAAAAGGAAAAATACATACATTTTACATTTAAGATATTTATTTAATCTAAATTGCAGCAATTACACATAGTACGGATGTAGAAATATTTAACGATAATATTTACTGACTGCATCTTAGAAGAATGTATATATAATGAGTATTTATTTACTTATCTCGGATCCCCGCTTTGTATTCTGAATTCATTTCTTTTTGCTCCATCCTGCAAAGTCAGTGGGCAGAGCTAACTTCTATAAACAAGGTGATAGTCCAGGCGCACTGTCTGGTTCACAAAACATAGTGATACTTTAAATAGCATACAACAACAACAACAACAATAAAAAAAAAAAATAATAATAAAATAATAATAATAATAATAATAATAATAATAGGCCATTATTATTATTATTATTATTATTATTATTATTATTATTATTATTATAAAAATCTAATTATGAAATAAATAAAAATATTTACCACTAATTTTATTATATAAAGAATTCTGTTTTTACTTATTACACATTGTGCATTTAGTAAATGTACAGGTGTAAATTCACTAAAACATTCTTATTAGTCACTGTGTTTTCTGCGAGATAACACACACATACGAGTTTTCACTTCATTCATGACAACGCGGCCTCTTCCCAGAGCTTCTATTTTCCAAGTAGAGATCCAGAGATCCTGATGTTCAAAGTCTCATCCCCTTTTCTTCTTCCACATTCAAAGCAAACAGAAAACAGCCAAAAAGTCTCAGCGAGCTGCTGAGGTTCAGACGCCTCAGAAGGGAACAGCGGTGGTTGAAAAACCATCAGGCCACTGAAACGCAGGAGGTTGTCCCAGCAGGAGGTCTTTGCTCCTATAAGCAGACCGACGTGTTTATTTTCCCCGTCAGCTGCCCCGCGTCGAGGTATGCACTTAAATGGGCCCGACGTCCCCGCAGGGAACCGCGGCACAGCAGCTCGGGTTTAAAGGAAGATCCGTCCTGTCCAAGGGCGCTCTCAGGGGCGGAACGCTGCGCGCAGCGGGGCGCGTATGTGGGACTGGAGCGAAACGCAAATACGTGGTAAAGGTGGAACCGGAGGGAGGACAAGAGTGGCCGTGAACATACTTGACCAGTGAGCAAAAGTCTCTAATAGAGACAATGTTATTTATGGATACAGTGATGATACTGATGAAAAAATAGAATGAATGAAGACGCAGTACTTCCTTTTTCTTTTGCTGGCTGTGTGTGTGTGTGTGTGTGTGTGTGGGAGGGGGTAGGGGGGTGGGGGGTGGGGGGGGGGGTTACGGTGTGTGTGCTTGTGGATCTTATCAGTAAATAATCCTGAAAATGCAAAAGATTTGAAAGCCAAATCCAAGATTCACTGCGTGAAGCCGGGAGATCATCTTGGTCTCGGAGGTGCGAGTTGACGGAGGCTCCGATTGATTCCTTTTGCGATTTGACCTGCCGCTCGACTCTTGATTGGGTTAAAACGATTCATCTCTTCCCTTCACAAAACCAAATCGTCAAATTATAGAATAAAAAACAAAACAAACAAACAAACAAACAAAAAAAAAACGTCAGCAGCTCACCTGCACAGCGAAAGCCAGGTGAGACGTCTGGTTGCGTAACTCTCCAAGGTGCTGAAACACGCAGTACGATCTTTACCGTCAACCTTTTGAAGTTCTGATCTGATCAGCAGGTTTCACAAGCAAACATTGAGCTGTTCACATCATCGTAAGCAAAGGCGGGGAGTTTTTTTGTTGTTGAAGGAACAAACAAAAAGGTAGAATTTTGTAAGCAACATCATTTTGGGGGAGAAGACAGCGGTTATCTTTGGATGCTTTGGCCTAAACCCAAAAAGTAAAAAGTAAAACGTGACCATTATAGGTTGATTTACTGCTGGTGGAGTGGCGTTCCTCTTGCTTACTCTGTGTTTGCGTGGTTACGTGTCTCTGTTCCTGCCCTGTGATGGACAGGAAATCAATCAAAGTTGACCCCGCTTCTCAGCCAATGGCGACACTGCGAGGATAACTCGTGGACACCACGCGTAGTGCCTCCGGGCCAGCAGGGGGCGCTCATGAGTGCAGGACTTTTAGCTGGTATTTCAAAGTTTTACAGAGTTGGAAGTCATGTAAAAATGCTTTTTGACCTTTTCGAATGGTGGTTTCGGTTTTAAACGAACTAACCAATATGGGTTAATAGTTATTATCAAAGTTTCATTTTAATATTCACAATTTAATATGGCTGTCCATTAATTTGTCCAATGGAGTCCACATAACCGGGGCTTAATCAGTAAATAATAATAATAATAATAATAATAATAATAATAATAATAATTTTATTAATTTTGGACGTCCATGGTAACACAAGATTACTATCTATCAATACAAACTATATCAATAACTATCAATAAAAAAAGTTCGATTCATTAAGCGAATAATTGAACGGTCAAGTGAAACACGACTGACCGAATCCATTCCCCTTTCAGGCCTGATACAACACTCACACGCTGAGTGCTGTTGGTAATGGTGCAGAAAAGGAACAAACCCAAATCCAATCATGGTTACCTGATAATAATAGTAATAAAGCAAAAATAAAAACACATACGTTTCCTACTACTTAACTGTGCAGCTGTTTATTCCTTTTTCCCCCCCAGAAGCCACTTATTTTTGGTCTATACGCACTGGTGTGTAAGACATAACGTCGCTCTGTCTCAGGTGTTCTCCAGCAGGTCCATCATGAAGGAGATGTAGACGATGGCCAGGCGCAGCGTTTCGATCCGAGACAGCCTCTTCTCGTAGGCGAAGGTGGGAACTTTCCTCCTCAGCGCATCAAACGCCTCGTTCAGGCTGAACATCCGCTTTCTCTCCCGCACGTTGGCCGCCTGCCGCTGCACTCCGGTGATGATCCTCCGCCGTTTGGACCTGCCGTGCCCAAACGGCCCGCGGCTGCAGCACCGCGGCGAAGAGCTCGCCGGACGCCCCGCGCGCCCTTCGCCGGGCGGAGACATGCCGCGGGAGGAGCCGCTCGGCCGCGGCGAGACGTCCGCCTCCTCGGACCCTAAAGCGCACTTCTGCGTGAACCCGATCAGGCTGATGTCACTGACAAAGTTTATGAACACGGAGTCGTGAATGTCCATGATCGAGTCTGCCTGCAGCTGGCAGGGCGAAAGGGAAAAAATAATAATAATAATCAGACTCCAGGCGATCACCAAACCACGACAAGTGCCTCCAACGTTTCTCCACGGGATTAGATCCTCTTTGGCTGAAGTCCAAGCGCCTTTTTCCCCCTGCGGTTTTAATAAGTCACCCACACCTCTTCACAGCGCCACATCTTTCACGCCACCTCTGCTTTTAAATCGACCGTATTTCTCCTCTCAGTATGGCCTTATAGAGGAAAGCTGGAGGGCTCCGCCAATTGACGCGTTGTCCTCCGCACCCCAGAGGCCCCCAAATGAGCTTCTGAAGAACCGAGGCTCTCGATAGAAGGTCACAGACTCTTGTTTGCGCTCTTCTCTCGGCCTCTGCTGCTAAATAATGACACTTTTAACACTTAAACTGGCCCAGGAGAAGACCAAACAGAACGTTCTCTGACAGTCAAAAGCTTTTCTGTTGCAAATCAAAGCAAATAGCTGTCCGTTCCCATGGCAAGAAAGAGTCCACACTGCAGGAACTGCTGAGAGAATCACTGGGGGCTTCAATGCTGCAAAGAAATTCCTCTTTGCCTTAAGTTTATTGACTTTCCACTTGCTGTTTTTAATATGTCCAAGTACATACAAATTGTGCACTTGTTTAAAGTAACTTTTTTTGAGTAGAGATCATTGTCACGTTTCTTTCAGTTCAACAAAAGCTACAAAACTCTAGCTGCTGATTCATGAATGGCCGACTGCTTTTCAGTATGAATTTGGGGATGGGTCTCACAGAACAGTCATACTGCTCAAACCTTTTTCAGTTTGCCACATTTTATTGACCAGCTTGTTTTCATTCGAAGCAAATAATCCCACAGCATGACGAAGCCACCACTTTGTGTCACACAGAGAGGACGATGAGTTCAAGGTGAAGTGCGCCATCACATCACCTTGACACTGCAGGTGCTGATTTGTAAAATAAGATCGATGCTTGTGTGAAAAAACAACCATTTAGTTATTTGGAAAACCTCAACTTAACGTTACAGTTAATAGAAACACGCTGAAAGCCCTTTTGTTGATAATTTCACGGTGTGTTTTACGCCACTGAGACAGAAAACACACGTTGCAGTATATTAATAAACAATAAATAAGGCAGCTGATCAGGAACTGCACTTGTTTTATTCAGCTGCATCCGAGTGACCAGTTTTTTTTTCCTTCTACTGCCATCCTGAACCAAAATATTACACTGAAATGTGATAAAATTTTGTGACAGTTCTCCACTTACAGGAAGCAGATATCCCATATACAAAATATGGGACCTGTCCAGGGTCGCCCTGGACAGGTCGCCAGTCTGTCGCAGGGAAACACAGAAACAAACAGGACAAACAACCATACACACACACACACACACACACACACACACACACACACACACACACACACACACACACACACACACACACACACACACAGTCATTTTGGACTGTGGGAGAAAGCAGGAGTACCCAGAGAGAACCCACACATGCACCGGGAGAACATGCAAACTCCATGCAGAAAAGACCCCGGGCTGGGAATCGAACCCAGAACCTTCTTGCTGCAAGGCAACTGCGCCACTCTGCAGCCCCAAAATAATAATAATAATAATAACAATAATAATAATAAAAAGAATGTGAGTCTGCATCATTTTACGATTTTACGTTTCTTTTGATTTTGAACATCCTACCCGTCACTCGGACTTTATACCTTCGTCTCACTTTCGTTTTGTGTATTTTCCTGGCACACAGACACTCATGACGGGACATTCCGTCGGTTGCTGTGGAGACGCTGTGAAAGCACAGCTGGCCCGTGGAATATGAGGTAATCTCACCCTGGGGCTGCTTAGCAAATATTGGTCTTGAATAGGGAGTAAAACCCCAAAAGAGGCATGCAAACAGAGTCACAGGGACACACACGTACACACACACACACACACAAACACACACATACCTACCGGGGTTTATCCCAGTTTTAGTCAGGACATACCTAAACACAGACACTCAGAATGGCTCATTTCCTGCGCTGCTCTCTTATTACTGGCAGTACAGATTAAAATTAATGATGGTTGTCTTGTGACAGTGTTGAAAGAAAACCCTGTACATGTAATATGTCCAAATTTATTACAAACAGAATGCCCTTAAGAGGTTTTAATTTATGGAATTAGTTGTCTTATGTTTTCACAACAAGTTAAGGAAACCATCCAAATATGCTGACAACACATGCAAAACAGTCTGGATAATTTTTCAAAGGCCATACAGCGCCCTGCAAAAGAAAATGTTCAATCTTCTTGGGCTTGAACGTTTTTATATTTTGTCGCATTACAGCCACAATCTACTGTGATTTTTTTTTTTTTTTTTGTGATTTAATGTAAGAGACCAGCACAATGTCGGGCAAAATTGTGAAGTAGGAGGAAAATGAAAAAAGTCATCCCTGACCTGTTTTGTGTGTTCCTTGCTCATCTTGACGCTCCTTGTTCGCTTATGTTCTCCAGCAAACATCAGAGGGTTTTATAGAACAGCTGGATGTAAAATGAGATTATATTACACACAGGACTGGAGTGCATTTACCATCTAGGCAACTGGTTGGAAAGGATTTTATTTCAGCGATATCAGAGGAAAGCTTGCACTCAGTTTGAAAAACAAAACCAAAACCAAAACAAAACAAACAAAAAAAAAACCCGACAGCGTCCAGCAAACATGGTTTTTCATCCTACAAAAGAAGATATTTTGTGGTATTTAGGGAATCTGAATCTTAACACACAACTGAGGCAGAAAAAACCCCCAACAAGAACCCTAAATGCTTGTTACATAAAGTGCACTCGTTTTGCCCAGAGGAAACTGAAGGTTTTGAATATAGAGATCACCAGAGAGCAGTGCGTGTCCAATGAGCTGCTGCAGAGCAGCCAGAGCTGTTCTCACAATGTAAATCTGTCTCTCTCTACTCCTCCTCTGGCTCTACGCTCAGTTTCCTGTCAGAGCTCTGCCAAATTGTGTCGACCACCTCCAACGTAAATCACACTCGAGACGCTCCCCTTTGGTTGCTTCTTCCTTTTTTCCTTGTGCTTGAACCCGAATCCTAATCACTCGCTCTCTCTCTCTCTCACCATGTTTCCAAATTTTTCCTCATCTCATTTTGATTACTTGCTCTCTGCATGTTCTCCACACCGGCAAATTAGGAACACGAGACCACACTTGGTACTGCAAGTACACAGTTATTTGCACAGTACTTACATTTGAAGTAGGAAACAAGTTAGCAACCCTTTTGTAGCATTAAGGCTGACTTAGATCTGGAGTCTAAAGAGAAAAGGAGTCAAAGTTGGACAAAGGGAGTGGAGAAGATGTGTTTAACTCCTGACCTGTCTGCTTCTCCTTCATTGTGTCACTCTGAATTACTCCTCAATCCTTCTTGCTTTTCCTGGACCCTAAAGCTGACTCATGGTCCCTCTTGTCCAATGCTACATTTCTCTCTCTCTTTCTCCCTCTCTCTGATCGGTGGGTCTCTTTTGCCAGTGGCCTGTTATTGGATGTTTACACAGCTGGGTGGCTATGTGAAACATAGGGCTCATGACTTGGACACACTCCAATACCACATCATATATCTTCTCAAGTCTCTCTTTGAGATTCTCCCGCCCCACCACATACACAGATACACCCACCCGTTCGCAAAACCGCTGCGTGCCTTCGGTTCTCCATTTTTTAAATAAACATTTCCTTCAGCCCAGTGTCACTTGAAATGTCACCACGTGGCTCCTTCACCCAACCGTAATGGTGTCAGCACCTTTTTCGTTGACTCTAAGCAGACGCCCCCCCACCCACTTCACACCCACCTCTGGCCTTCTTTTGGTCTGAGTAATCCCCGGGTTTGTTTTGAAGGGAAAAAAAACTAACAAAAAACTGGGTTTCTTCCGCCTCTACTTGCTATCTTTACTTTCAAAGTGAAAAATTCAACATTTGCAGGGAGTTACATTCTCAGTCAGTCTCTGAATTCAGTTGGAGACTTATGTCGGCGATAAAGGCGATATGAGCACGTCGTCATCACTTTTTACTGTGTTTTGGTCCTTTCACTCTGTGCATAAGTGTCGAAGTGAGAGTCTGTTGTTTTTTTATGATTATTTTTCCCTTTGCAGAGATATAACTTAGATACCACATGTTTTACACATGGACAGGGATTTTCTTTGCTCAACATGATACTGGTAGCACGTAAAAACAAACAAGCTCTGAAATACGGCGCGCATAAAGAAGAAGCGTTAACAGTTCTTGCATAAACAGCAGAATGTTTACCTTCTCCGTGGGATTTCTGACGTTGTTTCACTGCTTGACGAACCAAACGCACCAGATCCATTTTGAACACATGTGCACTTGATGCTTGCGTGTACGTGTGAAGTTTTCCGAGCCAATTTCGGAAAACCTGTTTATGTGCTGTATTGATAACAGTGAGAAAGGTGGTTATTTTTTTTAGCTATTTGTAAAGTATTAGACAGTACCATTTGGCAAGGATAGAGGGGATTTGTTTATTTTTTATTTCATGTCAGAGTCTGGCAGCTGAGTTTATTGCTGCCAGTTAATCCGAAGTGGCTGAATTATCTCAGGTTAAAGGAGTCGTAAATGACTGTTGACAAGCTGTATTGGTCATTTTGAGGCCTGCTTTGATATGAAATGAACTTGTTTCCATTTTAATAGTATTAATTAAGTCTCTTAAGTAAATAACAGAGCCGGCCTGACAGGATAGTCAGGGGTTCATCAAAACGAACCAAAATGCTTTTGCAAATCAGACTCATCTATCCAAACCTGTGCTGATATTTAGCTTTACGGAGCAAATTTATGCAGCAAGGATGTACAATACTCTACACAGCAATAATTTTGCCTGAAATTTGGATAGAAAATATCTGATAGTTTGATTTTATTATTCACTTTTATGTGTTTTACAAAATGTATTCAGATATGTTCTTTTAAACTTTTTTGTTTGGTCTCAAGACCTTGAAATTCACTCGTAAAAACGGCATAATGCCACAAAATCCAACCAACCACTCATGTAAACGATCAGCCAACCGACCCACAGAGAAAGGGTGAAGAAACTGACATATTAATAACTGAATCTGCACATCAGTATGAACAGATTTATCACGTAAGAACAGCTAAAATAGTTTTGCAAGTTTCCAGTTTCCAGCAGATTGAATGGGTACGTTTATGCAAATCCAGAGATGGGCGAAACCCCTTTGGATTGGGTTACTGATTAATACTGTACCTCAGTTTTGGCCATGTAAGAAAAAAATATATTTATCTTATGTTTTGGGCTAGACTCTAAATATAAAGTGATGGAGTCAACTTGTTACGAGATCTCACTTTTGTCCTCAGTGAGAGCAGCGTTACTCTGTAAATTCACTGAAGAGAGATCTGAGTTTTTCTGTTCATTTTAAATTT